CGAACATCATGCTCCAGTGACCGTCTGTGCTCTTCTCACCTCTATTCTTTAGCTCATGACTGCACTTTACCCAGAACGTCCTTTCTACTTTGCTGCTAGCTCTTCTTCAAGATTCTACACAGCATCACCTCCTCTTCTTTGAAGCTTTGCCCCTAAAGACTGGACGAAGGGCCCTGCAGTGCTGAAGTCTAATGAACTTCCCTAATCTCTGTACTTATCACACCAATGGTGAAATTATCCATATATGTGGCTATAGCCCTCAGTGGGGCTGGAGGTTCTGAGCCCAGAGACTATATTCGTTACATTGTGGGTGATGATAAGCTGTTTGTTGAATAACTGAGAAGTCACTGAACCCACTGAGGGCCAAATTTCAAGCCTAGGCTATCCTCGGTGTGTCTTGGGGCTCCCGAGGACCTCTGCACAGACCCTGCAAAGGGCAGGGATGGGCTGTCCCTTTGCAAATGCTGCCACCTTGTGGCCAGACTCAGAAGCGCAGCCAAACATCACCTTCCCAGTGCAAGGACAAAAGTGGGAGCCAGAGATGCCCTGGGGAATCAGGCTTGATCCCTAAGCTCCAGGCTGGTGGTGCAAACAAACAGTGGGGAGTGGGAATTGGGGAGTGGGGAGTGGGGAGCTAGGCCCTGAGGAGGGAGCTCTCAGAGCCTAGCACTGGTGTCCTCTGAACACTCCTGATGAGTTCCAAGCAGAGAGAACGGCAAGAGCAAAGGCTCAGAGGCAGAAAATCTCATGGCACGTGGGAAGAGAGAGGTGTTAGGGCGGCCAGAGCCCAGGACCCAAGGGGACTAGGCCAAGATGGACTGAGCCATGGCAGTGACCAAGCAAGGAGGTCCTTTAAGGCCATGCAGTGAATGAATTTGGATCTTGTCCTTTAATCAGGGCATGGGGAGGCTAAGAGAGCAAAATGACAGATCTGAGTGTGGCCACACACATGGAGCCTCAACATTCATTCATCCACTCAGTAAATATCTATCAAGCACCCACTATGTACCAGCCATGCTGAAGATCCTCAGGTGACACCAGTGAGCAGAACAAAGATTCCTGTGTATTCGGAGCTTACATTCTCATCAGGAGACAGACGATAAACAAAAAACATTATTTTCAAGGAATAAATTATGTTTAGAAGGCAAAAAGGAAAAAGCATACATGGGGGAAAAAGGCAGGGTGCGGGAGAGCAGAAGTGCTTGCCTGAAGGTTTAAATGGAGTGGTGAGTAGGCCTCGTTGAGAGGACATTTGAGCAAAGACTTCAGGAGGGAGGGGGACAGCCGTGCAGGATCTGGCAGAAGAGCATTCTAAACACAGGGAGCAGCCAGTGGCTTGGTTTGGAGGAGAGCTCAGAGGAGAGAGAAGCAGGGAGACCAGTAAGGAGACTGCTGCAAGATAATGAGGGGCACAAACCAATGGAGGCTGTGGGAATGGAGAGAGGCCTCGGAAGGAAGCAAAATTGGCAGGACTCGCTGCCTATTGGGATATGGGAGGTACAGAACTCCTCCACCATACTATGTTCTGAAGTCCCCATTTCAAGGCTAACAAGCTCGCCATAGATGCCACCTCTAAGGCAGGTAGTGAGAACGCTCAGCACATTCCGTCCTGCGTGACTGCACTGCCCACCTGACCCTCCTTCCCTCCCCACCAGCCACACACCACTACCCTGCCTGGCCTCTTAATTCCTTAACCTCATCTTTAGTGACTTTTCTTCCAGGCCACCCAGCTATCCACTCTCGTGCCCACGACCAAGTCCTGTTAGTTCCTAAAACTCTCAAACCCACTGACTCCTCCACCTCATCCTCTAGCTGCTGTTAGGGGTTGACTGATGTCCCTCCAAAAAAGATATGTTGAAGTTTACATGTAGTACCTTAACCCCTAGTACTTCAAAATGTGACCTTATTTGTAAATAGGACCTTTACAGAGGTAATCAAGTTAAAATGAGGCCATTAGGCTGGGCCCTAATACAATATGATAGGTGTCCTTCTAAAAAGGACAAATTTGGACACAGAAATGGACACACACAAAGGGAAGATGAAGTGAGGATGAATGACTGGAGTAATGCAAGTAAAAGCCAAGACGGAGCAAAGACTGCTGGCAAACCCAAAGCTAGGAAGAGTCCAGGAAGATTTCAGGGGGAAAATGGCCCTGTTGACACCTTGATTTTGGACTTCTAGTTTCCAAAACTGAGAGATGGTAAATTTCTGTTGTTCTAAGCCACGCAGTTTGTGGTCCTTTGTAAGGGCAGCCCTAGAACCTGATAGAGCTACAATGCCCTGTCCTCATTCTCTCAACTACTCCATCTCACCCCACGCCACCCAAGACATTTTCACGAGCACCTTTGGGCCACTGACCCCTGCCCCTTTCTATCTTCACTTCTTTCCTAAACCCAGCTGGGACCCCTTGGTCCTTCACTACATGTACTTTCTTGCTAGTCTCCCCACTGTTCTTCCATCATTCCAGTGCCTTCACCTCAGTCTGGAAGAATGCGAGTGTTTCCTCTGAGTCCTCACCTGTCCTGTGGGTACTGCTGGAGCTCACACCCTGACTGATGACACTCCAAGTTCATGGTCACCAGCTTCCTCTGGGCTTTAGTGCCGCCTGGTCATCCTCCTGTACCCTCCTAGTTCTCTCTCCCAATTGCAACAACTACCTCACACTTCCTTCCCACCAGCCTCCTCACCCCACGTGCAGCAGCAGAGCTGGAGCCCCGCTTCAAGAGGAGATAGAAGCCTTCGGAACTCTGAACTCCCTCACGTCTCACTTTCACCTCCCCATCCACCTGCATGCTGCCCATCCTTAACTCCTTCCCTTGGGTACGGGGAGTCATCGCTCCTCTTCCCTTCGGGAGGCCCGTACCTCCATGCTTCCGGATCCCATTCCCCTCCACCCCCTCAGCAGTCTCCCCGTATGAGTTAAACAATCTCCTGCACTTTTGATCTCTTTCCCTATTGGCTTCTTCTATCAGCCTACAAACATGCTCAAGTCTCTGCTAATTCACTAAAAATAAGCAAGAAATAACTCTCTCTGTATCCCACATTCCTCTCCAGTTATCATCTCTCTCCTCCCATTCACAATCCAACTTCTTGAAACAGCTGTCTCTGTTTCCCTACCTTTTGTGCCAAGGCATAACCATTTCTAAGGATGATGGAGGCAGAAGCCATACTGCAGTGGACTAAGGAGAAAGTGGGAAGTAGAGAAATTGAATCAGCAATTATATGTAACTTTTATGCTCCTTCCAAATCCTGGTCAGGCTCTCTGACTCTAAAGGCCTCACTCTCTGGCTCCGTTCCTACAATTCCTCCCGCGGGCCCCAGTTGGCCCCTGTAGAGGCCAAGGAGAGAAAACAGCCCAGAATCACTAGCCATCCCTCCATCAGCCTGTGGCCTATTTCCTGCTTCTCTGAGCTGTGGATCCTTTCTTCCCAAGGGATTTTGTCCCCAGCTCAGTTTCCCTCCACACTACCCCTGCCATCAACCTGGAGACCCCAGGTGGCACCTTACTGATGAGCTGCCCAATTGGAGCACCTCTTAGGACTCCCAAACTTGTGATGCCACCTTACTGAGTCACTCCTTCAGCACTCCAGGTCACCGTGCTTAGTCCACGTGATCATTCCACCCTGGAAACAGCAGGCTGGATCAGGATGGGACACCCCAAAGCTCCAGGGACCACAACACTCAGAGAGCTATTGACCGTAGAATCTCCACACATGTGGAGATGCTTAGAGAAAAGGCAATACGCAGAAGGTGGGAGGAAGCAAATCCCCCAACTAGTCACAAAGAGAATCAGAAGTCAGGCAGTTGCTGGTAGCAAGACCCAAGGCACTAGCACAGCCTCTACGGGTGTTAGATGCTCCAGGAGCCTCTGCATTTGAGAGGCCTGGCTGGGCAGTTGCTGAGACGGTTTCCTCTCTCCTAATATCCCCTGAATCTCCATCACCTTCTCTTTCTCAAGATCTTCCATATCACTCTGGGCAACCTACCTTGGAAGGCAAAGGATGCAGTGTTCAAAGATTTGACCACAGCCTGCTGGTCCTGTGGTCCCTTCATCCCTGCTCTAAGTCCCATTGACGCCTCCAGTCCCTCAACTCCATCCCTCCCAACATCTCGACCCTTCCTGCCCGGACTCAGCCAGACATTACTTCAACACTCTCAAACTGCTGGGCCAACCCTGCCACAATGTGAGGTGAGCCCAGAATTCCTGAAGACTGGACACCCAGGCTACTGGACACATTGGAGAAGACCTCAAAATCCAGTGGGAGCCCCAACTGACTCAGCTTTCCATTGAGTCTACCACTGCCCACAGTCCTGCTCTGGCTCCTGCAGCCCCCTGGCTACCACTGCAATCTTCACCTCTCTCCTCATGCCCCGGACCTGCCCATGGTGAATCTGAGAGTCTAAGGCCAAGGTGAAGCAGAAAAGGAGCAGAAAGGTGTAAAAAGGCAAGGGTGAGACCCGGAGGGGAGATGTGGAATTGAGATTTTTTAAGATAGGAAAAAGCTGCTTGTAAGCTGAGTCATTAATAATGATGGCAATTAGCATTTATACAGCACTATCTGCGCAGGTGGTATCTAAGAGTCATATGTGAATATTTCTACATTTACTCCTCATAACAACCCTATGAGGTAAGTACTATATCCTGTTTTACGGGAAGAGGAGTGAGTAACTTGCTAGTAAGTAGCAGAACCAGGATTCAAATCCAGGCAGTCTGGTGCCGGAGACCATGATCTTAACCACTACACTATAAAATATACTGCAGATGGAGAAAAATGTCTGACCCGGCAGAGTCCGTAAACCAGCCCAAAGCAGGTGGCAGACAGCCACCCAGGGGTCTTGATACAGTCAGGTTACTGCCTGAGACTTCTTACCATCTCTTGATCCTCCCAGCAGCAGCCTAAGCTGCACCCTTCCTGTCTCCAGCCTGTGAGCTCCTGGGAGCAAGGGCAGGGACTCCCACTCTCTTAATCCCACCTTCGCAAAGCAGGCCGAGCAGAGGCTCATCAGACAAATGGGCAGAACCTTTATTTCATAACCCACTCCCTGGACCTCTGTCAGAAGGCAGATCAGAGGCACCGTAGGTAGAAGGCAGAATGAGCCCTTCTTAAGCAATCCAGACCCACCAGAGACCCCACACCTGTCACTCTTCATAGCAGTCTCTTTCCACACGCCAGAGGGAAGGGGAAAGAGGACAGAGAGGCCCATTTCTGTGCATTCAAGTCTTGATGGAGATGACGAGCAGTTACAGGGGCTTCTGAGAGAAGGCACAGCCATCCTAGACCTTCAGGCCTGGAGAAGAGCTTGTTCAGCAGGTCCTCAGGAGCGGGTGTCTCGAGCCTTTCTTCGGGGTCGGGGGCCACAGCTGGAGCCAGGTGTGGAGCCCAGGCCAGGGGGTGCCCCGGGGGGCTGGTAGCCACACTCATTGGGGTCCAGGGGGTCCCTGCTGAGCAGTACCCACACCGCAGGCACATGACGGCGCACCGTGAGAGGATCTAGACCTGTGTCGGGTGAGGTTGGCACCCAGCTGTCCTCAGTCTGCAGGAAGCGTAGCTTGGTAAGCTGGTGCAGGCCTGGTACCCGCCGCTTGACAATCTCAGCACAGCTGACAGCCTTCCCGGCAGCCCGGCCAGAACCTGAGAACACCACATGCCGGGCGCTGCCGCCCTCCAACCGACCCAGTGCCAGCCCCAGCAAGTTTCGGATTTTGCTGCCATCTCGGACCCGCATCTCCAGGGTATCAGGAGGTAGCTGGGGCATCGGGGAAGGTGCCGGGAGTTCCACAGAGCCAGCTTTCCGGTAGTGCTCCATCCTGCTTACGGCCGGGCGAAGGTCCTCTCGATGCCCGCTGCGGGGAAGCGTGAGGTGAACGCTAGGCAGTGTGCCCCCGGCCATCCCTCCACCCCGGCTCTCCAGGACCCCGCCCTGCGCCTCCTCATCTCAGGTTTCCCAGGAACGGGACCATAGCCCCTCACCCCCAACCTCCCGGGACAGGGGCCATGCCTGCTTCACCCTGGGAACGGGCTGTACCCCATACATCCCCAGTCCTCCGGACAGGGCCCAAACCGTCCCCCGACCCTGGAGTTCCTGAGACACAACCAAATTCCCCAAACACTGGGCCCTCGGGACAGGCCAAGCCCGCTCACCCCAACCTCCCTAAGACTGGGACCGACCTTCCCTTATCTTCGGCTCCTTGGGACAGGGCCCGGGCCCGACCCCAGACTCCCTGAGAACAGGACTGAGCGCTCCTCACCCGGGTCCCCCAAGGACAGAGACAGGGCCCCTCACTTCGTGCCCCCGGAGGACTGAGCCAAGCCCCTGAGCCCCACGCGCCCGAGACGGCCAAGAGCCCTCCACCAAATGCTCCTCCAACACAGAACCGGCCCCTCCCCCGAGTCGGGATCCCAGGACCCGGAGATTCCCAGGTCGATCCCCCCAACCCAGGTCACTCGGAAGCACGGGGGTGGACGCTCGCTCGACGCGGGGGCGGCTTGGGCTACTCCCGGCGTCGGACCCACCGCCACCGGCCGCCCGCAGCAGCAGGGAGCCGGCCCCGCCTCTGCGCCCCCTGCCCCCGGCGCCCCTACCCCCGGCTCCGGCTCTCACCGCGCGGCCCGGCACGCCTCGAGCTCGGCCTGGAGGCAAGATGGCGCGCGGGCCGGGAGCGCGCCGAAGCCGCGGGGCCGCGCGCGCCGGGCGGGGCGGGGCCTGAGGGCCGTGGGGCGGGGCCTCCGCGGGAAAACAGGCCGGCCGGCGACCTGCGACCCTGCGCACACGCGCGGTCCGCGGTTACGCCCGGCGAGGGGCGCCCTGCTGGGCGGAGAGGAGCGGCCGTCGGCGGGGTCCCGCGTCCGGAGGGCGGGGAGGGTTTGTCCGTTAGAAGGTGGCAGGGCTGGCGTTGCCGGCTGAGCACGCCGCAGTCACAACGGCGAGGCGGCGGGGTTCGCTCTGGACCGGGACGAGAGGTTCCGCTGGAGGGGCTGCTGCTGCGCGACGAGAGCCTGGTCACCGAATTGTCAGCTTCGACCTCATCCTGTAGGCACTGGCCAGCCACGAGGGGGCGGGGGGGGGGGTCTTTCATCAGGGGCCAAACCAGTCCTACGCACTGCTCTCTGGCTGCAGTAGGGGGTGGCGACATCGGGCCACAAGCCCTGGTGCCTCCAGGCCACAGGGTCCCAGGCGCGTGCCCACGGAGACGCGTACGGTGCCCGGCGTATAACAGGCCCTCAAATATCTGTTAAATGACTTGTTGAAAGAATGAACCAGAGAAGTGGCAGTGGGAATGGAGAAAAGTAGATTAAGTTGGGAGATATTAGGAGGTAGGTTCGGTGAGGAGTTGGCGACTGTTCAGACGGAGAAGGAGGGAAGAGTCTGGGATGACTCCCGGTTTCAGACTTCGTTCGGACATGCCGAGTTTAAGACGCCGGAGACTGCGCAGGTCGTGTGGCCGGCAGGCCGTTGGAAAGGGACCAGGAGCCACAGCACCCGGAGACCACAAGGGGGCAGCAAACACCTGGTAAAGTGAGGTGTCAATCTCTCCGCTTTCTCTTCGTGCTCCCTCCCCTTCCCAACGGGGGCCGCCGGGGCCAACCCCAAACCCCTGCGTCCAAAACTCTTCTGGGCTCCCCTTCTCGGTTTAGGGCACCAAGGGAGAAACTTCAAGGCTCCTCTCTACCTTTGCACGTGCGGCTCCCTTGGCTCTCAAAGACCCTGCATATCACCCTTCAGGGCTGCCTCCCCATCCCTTTTTCTTCTGTGCTCCAGCGGACACTGTGCCCACCTGGTGGGACTGCCCTTTTCCTTGACTGTCTCCCTGGCTAGCCTGTGCAGAGCAGGGATAAAGTGGCCCCTCCCTGCGTCCTCCCCACCTGGCATGGCATCTGACATTTAGAGGGTACTTGGTAAATATGGAACAAATGGATACATACCCGAATGTTCCACTCACATCAGTCAAATGAGCGCATTCATCCTGAGAGCACTACACTTCCCAGAAAGCCAGACCAGGATGAGTAGTACAGCTCCTGGTCCAACCACTACGAAGGTTGACAACTCCGCCCTCTACCACCCCTCCCGGACCCCATCCCGATCCGAGCCCAGGAAGCCAGCACACTCTTCCAGTGATCTCTACAGTTTATTATCACTGGAATAGGACACTGATGAGGGGAGGGGGTGCAAATAGCAAGTCTCAAGTAGCCAGACCTCTGACCTCAGAACCCCACCTGAGTGCAGACAGCTAGGCCACGAATCCAATAAATACAGCGCTGCCTCTGCCCTGTTACAAGAGCAGGTTGACACAGGGCCCTGGAGCCTGGCTGCCCTGGCCCACCCTGGGATGGAGAGCAGTCATCACTCCTCTGCGGGCTTCACTTGCTTGGCGGCCTCTAGCTGGCAAAGTAGCTCATCCCACTGCACGAACTGCTTGGAGAGAAGCATTGTCTGGTCATAGGTCAAGGTGAGAACAGGAGTCTGAGGGAGTGGAGAGATTTTGCATCTACCAAAAGCGTATGGGAGCAGGTAGGTGAAAGACAGGCTGGTTGGGATGGGATGAGAGACAGAGCGAGGGATGGAGCAAGAAGATAGGGCTTTGGACAGCACTCCTCCAGGCCCAGCTGAGCAGAAAGGATACAGTCTTGTTATACTCCTCCAGAAGAGCCTTGGACTCCTCAGTGACCTCCACACACTGGTCCTGTGGGGCCAAGGTATGGCAGAGAAAGGAGTTGGACAAAGCCCCCACCACTTCCCACTAACCTTCCTGCCTTATCAGGGACCCTCACTCCCCAAAGAGCCCAGAAAAGGTGATGTTTTACCCCAGAGACAAAAGGAGCAAATATCTAAAGGGGCACTTTCAGGTTCCAGGATAGGTACCCCAACAGCAGTCCTAAGGCTGATGGAAGGGGGAGTGGACCACACATTTAAGGAAACATTCCTGCTAGTATATGTCTCCTCCTCCCCGTCCCCTATTTCTGAACGTTCTTTGAACTTTACACGAGGGCCTGGGAATAGTGAAAAGACAGCTCCTCTACCCACAGTCAAGGACACACAATCCACAGGAATTCTTGGGTGCCTCCTGACGTCAACCTTCTGGTGTCTCAGAATAGCCCTACCAGGATCCTGGATCCTGGGAGACCTGGATGTGGCCCTAGGGAAGTCCTTTCCCCTTGTAAGGCAGATGGAAGGTAAAGGATTAACCCCCCAAGTTTCCCCTGGAGCTGACATCAGGGGAGCCTGAGGCTGCTTCCCCAGGTGGCAGTGGTGTGGACTAGGAACCTCACCACCTCCCTTCCAGTCCTCTCCCCTCCCAAACCTGCTGCTGGATGTGGATCTGGGCCAAGCGCTGCAGGCGGGCGGCATGCTCAGGAACGGCTGTAAAACACAACGCACACTGCCCGATGAAGCTGTGCCTTCCCCCGGGACTGCTCAATAGTCTATTAGGTCTTCGGCAGGATTAGAGTATTGAGTGGAGAAGCTAAACGAACGCTAGGCTTCATCGACCGCTGCAGCTGGAGGTGGTGGTGGGGCTCCCTGCCCACCCTAGTCTTACTCTAGGACCCAAAGGGGAGGGGAACATACAGGCCCCTAGGAGAAGACAGAACCTTGGGGTCCCCAGAGTTGCCCCGTACCTCCACCTCAGTGCTGTCAGCAAGGCCAGGTAAAGAGAGCTTTGCCTATCTTGGGATCTGTCCCTTTGCTCCCAGCCCAGCGGGACCAGGTCTGCCTGGCCTAGGGAACAGGAAGCCTGGAGGTGGGCTGAGGATGAATGCCAGGTCCTTAAGCAGGCCACCTGGAACCCAACACCCAGAGCCTCAGCCACCATGCTGGGCCCACAGCTTAAGGCTGTCAGATGCTTAGCAGGTAGCTGACCAAGGCTAGGGAGGGGGAGCTGGGAAAAATACCTCCAGAGCCAGACAAGATGGATATCTGGATTCAATTAAAGCCACTGTCTGCTCATCAAAACCCAGTTCCAGGGGCTGCTCCCAGCAGTGTGGCAGGAAGAATCACACACACTCACACAGCAGCAGGGACTCTTTCAGTAGAATCTGGGCTCTGCAGCACCCTGAAGGACAGATGCTAAGGGCTGGGGTGGAAGGCAGAAGGAATCCCCAGGGGCCAGCCCCGTAGCCAAGTGGTTAAGTTCCCGCGCTCTGCTTCGGCGGCCCAGGGTTTCGCTGGTTTGAATCCTGGGCGCAGACATGGCACCACTCATCAAGCCATGCTGAGGCGGCATCCCACATGCCACAACTAGAAGGACCCACAACTAAAAATACACAACTATGTACCAGGGAGCTTTGGGAGAAAAAGGAAAAATAAAATCTTTTAAAAAAATGAAGGAATCCCCAGAGTTAGGGGCTGCTGGGCTCACACTAGTGTCCTTAGGCCCGAACTGCCTGAGGTTCTGAAATTGAGCTCTCCACCCTGGCAATTTTAACCCCAATGCAGGTGGCAGGTCCCCCCAGGGTGAGGGTAAAGACAAGGAGCAGACCTAGCCCAAGCCTCAGGAACCTGAGGCACAGGGACGTCCTGCCCATCCCCCACGTCCCCAGGCAGAGCAGTGCAGCTACAGCCCAAGAGGTACCTTTGATGTGAGCGCTGTCCAGCATGGGCACCAAAGCCTCCACCTGCTCCAGGAGTGCGACCTGGGAGAGGACGAACTGCTCCTCTGCGGCATAAACAGACAAGATAGGGGCAACGAGGCAAGCCTGGGCGCTGCCAACCCCATGCAAGGGGCTGAGGACCCGGCAGGGGAGATGGCTGGGTCCTGGAGCTTGGGGCAGCTACTCTGCCCACTGCCCCCTTCTCTAGGTGCACGTTCCCCCATTCTGCCCCCACCTCTCCTGGATGCCTTTAGTCTGACTCATCTTGAGCCCAAGGAGCCTCTAAGTTTCTCCAAATCCCACCCTTCTCCAAGTTTTAACTCTAAGGCCTCTTCCTCTAGCCTCTTATCAACAAACTCAGTGAGCTGCTCCTGGGTCATAGGAAACAAAGTACTTCAGACTTGGGTCCCTACACTCGAGGGCTCCCAGGGAGGTCTGAAAGAGAAGACATGTGGCAGACTAGCAGGCAGGTTCTGCTCAGTGGCTCTGAGAGGCACAGGCAATACAAGCTCCTGGAGAGCTAGGACAGTAACAGGAGAGTCCAGCGAGGAGAGCAGGAGCGAGGCTGGGCCCTGCACAGGGGATTTCAATGGTTGCAAAGAGTGGGAAGGGTGCTGAAGAAGGGAGGACTGTTAGGTCAAACGTTTGGAGGCAAGAATGCTTGTCAATTAGAAGAGGAAAAAGAATTCAACTGGCTGAACTGGAGCAAGGAGAGTACAGGAAACAGAGCTGGATGGGAGGGTAGATCTGGCAGACTGTAGAAAGCCTGAAGGGCAGACTAAGGAATTAGGACCTCATCCTTGCAAGGAGACAGAGAGAGACACTGAGGTTCTAAAGCAGACAAAGTAGCATGTTGGAAATGCTTTGGGAAGATGATACTAGACCACATGTAAGAAGGGAAAGACTAGGGTCAAGAAGAGGAATTAGGAGACTACAACTGCTCACACGTGAGAGGATGAACACTGAGGCCATGGCAACAGGGAGGGCGGAGAGGCTAGACTCAAGAGTCAGTGCAGGAGAAGATCTGAACTTGGGTGCCTGAGCCACCACAATGGCTCACAGACGTCCTGGTTCATCATTGTAAACCTCACACCTAGGAGAGTCTGGATCACAGCAGATGA